TAACCCACTGGGTCCAGGACGCAAACCACGTTCGACTACGTGGGAGTCCAGCCACATAGCCATTACGCTAACTGCTGGTTCCCTAACTATCTTTAATCTATTAGTTTTTGTGATATAATGGGAAGGAACCTATAATTTTTTTTTTTTGAAGAGGTTTTTGCTATAGGGCACCTGTGCTCGCCAGACAGAGAGAGACAGAGAGACAGAAAGCGAGAAATCACCCCCCTCCCAGGGGGGATGGCCATGCCACAATCCCTTCTCCTCCATTCTCCTCTCAAGATCTTGGGCATGCACGCACACACGCCCGGTGTGAGTTCTAAGCCACTGGGTCCAGGACGCGAACCACGGTCGACTACGTGGGAGTCCAGCGACATAGCCATTACGCTAACTGCTGGTCCCACGAAACCTATAATTCTTATAGTACATCTCAATTTCTTTATCTGATATATTAACTATTATTTAATGTACTAACAATATCCCCCTTTTTTCCCTCCTTTTTGGTTTATCAAGAAAACTCTACTTTTCAGCATTTGATTATCAGTCTTAAATTTTGGACAGTCAATAAAATTTAAATTTTTCTAGTTTATTTTTCTTCTGATTCTAACATTCACTTTCACACACATCCCCTTTTTGATGTATACACGTTCTTAACACTTTCTTCATCAATTTTCTAGACATTTTCTTACAACCTATTTAGGTAGCAAATTTTTTTTTCCTTTAGTTTCCACAAGAACATTTTCAGAGCTCTTTCTTTTATCCTATGTTCTCTGATAATATTTCGTTTTTCATTTTTAATAAGTTTTCGCCTTAGGGTACAAGCACTCGCTGGAAAGAGAGAAAGAGACAGTGAGAGGAAAAATGATAAATCACTCCCAGGAGGATGGCCATACCACAATCCCTTTTTCCTGCATTCTCCTACCAGGATCTTAGCATGCACACCCATATTGCCCAGCATGAGTTTCAAGCCAATGGGTCCAGGACTTGAACCATGGTCAGCCATGTGAAGTCCGATGATGTAACCATATGCCATCTCTTGGTCCCTCCTTTTTGCATTTTTCTATAATCTTCTTTTACAGCCTTTCATTTTTATATTCTTTATGAAATAAATTAAACTATTTTCAGAATGAGAGTGTTTCAAGTGACATTATCCTCAATTACAGATAACACTGACAAAGTTTGTCACCATCTACATCACATCTAGGCAATTCACCCATGTAGACTCTAAACTCAGAGAGCCTAGTTTCTGAGACCAGAACTTTTTTGTTTTGTTTTGTTCTTTAGGTTTTCACATGTTGTAATAATCCCTCATTAAAACTTTTATTACAAGAATAAAAATGAAAAGCAATAAAAACATTATATTTTTAAGTTTTATTTTCAATAATATCAATGCAAAAATAGAGACAAAATTCAAGGCTTTGTCGATCTTCTTACCCAAGATCCTGCCTTGTGTACCTCAAAATTTGAACATTACACAAGTTATCAAAATATCACACAATATCATATAAATTTGTACAATTATCATTTGTCAACAAAATATAATAATGCAAATAAATGAATCAATGAATAAAAAGAAAAACAAGAAAAACATGTTAATATATTTTTCAAGAATTCCCATGGGATCCGATAGTGACACAATAGTAATGCAACTGAGTCAATATGAGAAAGTCCTGGTTTTGTCCTGAGACCTCCTTTTACGTATTGAGTACCACAAATGTATGGCTACATGGGCTCTCAGTTCATTTGAGTTGCACATTACTCTGCATAGCCTGCTGATAAATATCAAGATTAGTTGACAAGCCAAAAGATCAATGGGTAGAAGCGATCTGATCAAGACAACCAGAAAACAAAGAACAGTTAAAAGATCTGAATAAATTCAGAGAAGAGCAAACTTTTGCTCATATTTGGTCCTACACATATTGCTAGGTATGAGACATCAGCAAGGTTTCAGCATTTTAATGTTTTGGGAATAGAAAAGACATGAATTCAAGACGCTCTGTGTTGAAAGTCAGGGATGTCTATCAGGGATGTCCTATGATTTGACTCCACAGTTTCCTTATGGCATTCTTCATCTCCATGTTTCTCAGTGTGTAGATCAGAGGATTGAGCATGGGGGCAATTATGGTGTAGAAAAGTGCAAACACTTTGTCTTCTGGTAAAGTTGTTGCTGGACGAATGTAAATGAACAGTAAAGGAGCAAAAAAAAGAACCACCACAGTGATATGTGAACTGCATGTTGAAAGAGCTTTGTGGCGATTCTCCACTGAATAGGACCTGACGGTATATAAGATCACAGCGTAAGACATCAACAAGACCACAAAAGTCACGAGGCCCATCAGGCCAGAATTGGCAATGACCAAGAAACCAATTCTTCTTGTGTCAGTGCAGGCCAGATTTAGCAAAGGGTACACATCACAGAAGTAGTGATCTATTTCATTGGGGCCACAGTAGGGTAAGAAGATGGCGAGGAGGAACTGACCAAAGGAATGAAGGAATCCTCCCGCACAGGAAGCAGCAATCAGAGCATCACATCTCCTTCTGCTCATGATTATAGTATAGTGCAGGGGCTTGCAGATGGCCACGTAGCGGTCGTAGGCCATTCCAGTAAGGATGAAGACCTCAATCCCTCCAAAGAAGTGCATGGTAAAGAGCTGTGTCATGCACCCATTGAAGGAAATGGACTTTTTTGTTGCTAGTAAGTCAATGATTAGTTTGGGGGTCACAGTAGATGTATAGCAAAGGTCAGAGAGAGAGAGGTAACTCAGGAAAAAATACATGGGCTGGTTAATAAGTTGACTGCAGGTGATAGAAATCATAATAAGAAGGTTTCCAGTCAAAATTACAATGTAACAAAGAAAAAATAGTAAAAAGCAGAGGACCTCTATTTCCTTTTTCTGAGAAAGTCCTAGAAGAATAAATTCTGTGATGTTATTCCTGTACCTCATGATTCCAGAGCAGTTTGTAGAAACCTGAAATAAAATATACAACCAGTTCTTAGGAGATTTATTTAAATGCCTGGTGCATATAATTCTCTTATTGCAGCAGATTGTAAGAAAAGTGGTTCAAATTTTGAAGAAAATAGAAATTTGATTTTTACTTAAAAAAGCTTACTTTTTGAGCTTCTGTCACTTTCTTGAAAATGTTAATTATTGGTAAACATTATTAGCCCCAGAGATAGTCTTGTAAAATACAGCATATTTATATAAACATTCTCTGCACATAATGCTAAACATAACTGGATATTATGCCCCAATAAAACTGACTCATTTAGAAAAGCAAACAAACAAAAAAGCTCTGCTGTTTTCACTGTTTAATATTGAAAATATGACCATTAACTATTATTATTTATTATTAAGAATTAAACATTCAGAGTAAAAGTAACATAACAATGCAAATGTGGAAGTATTGGGTCATCTGAAGAGTCACGATGCATTTTTGCATAGAAAAACATGGAAAAATATGTCATGACTTTTTCCAATGACCTCATATAATATGCAGTTAAGGTGGTATGTGAGAAATTTCCTGCCATATGTCCTATGAGAAATGGTGCTAAATCAACATTCAGAATGTTATATCAGAACATTAGGAATTTATATATGATTTCTCTTGAGGATACTTCATAAATGTGCTTAATTTACAAATTTATTTGATTTATTTGCAAAGGATTATAAGTCAAGAAAAGGGATTGCAAAGGAAGTTTTTTAAATTATTCTATTTTATTTTAATTTTTAATAGATTTTTGCTATAGGGTGTGTGTGCTGCTGGAGAGACAGAGACACAAAGTGAGAAATCACCCCCTTATGGGGGATGGCCATGCTGCAATCTCCTCTCCTCCATTCTCCTCTCGAGATTTTGAGCACGCTCACACACATACACCAGCATGAGTTTCTCCTCCATTCTCCTCTCGAGATTTTGGGCACGCTCACGAACATACACCAGCATGAGTTTTAAGCTGCTGTGTCCAATACTCAAACTGGGGTCAGACAAGTGGGAGTCTAGTGATGTAACCATTACACCATCTGCTGGTTCCAACAAAAGAAGTATATTATCTATATTTTTCAAAGCATTTCAGACTTAAAAACTATACAGGTATTTGAAATTCAGCAAGACATTTGAGAATAATAATAGTAAGTTAGTTTGTAGTAATTTAGTCTCACCCAATGCCTTCTCCAGTTCTGTAAATTATCTTTTGTTTAATTAATGTAAAGAAATTGTTCAACTCTTCTTAATCAGCTATCCTAAAAGTGTACAAGTTATCTTTATGAAAGATGATGTAAGACTGTATCTAAGACCAACCAGTCCCTGATAGTTGAGGCAGCTGGATCCTACATGTGAGATTCAAATCCTGGACAAGTGGCTTGAAAAACATGCTGGACACATGTGCATGCAAGCCCCAAATCCCAGCAAAAGGCAGAAATGGAGAAGAGATTGTAGCATGGCCATGAGGGTGATTTTTTGTTCTTTCCCTCTTTCTCTTTCTCTCTCCCAACCTCCCTTTCTTTGTCTCTCCACAGCAAGCACACATGTCTTGTGACAAAAAAATATAAATAAATTAATAAAGTAAATATTATTCCTGGATTTCAAAATGCTTGCAGTAAAATAAATTTGTAAATTTTTTTCTTCATTTTTATTTTATAATTTCCCATTTACATTCAATTATTGCATATCTTTGTGAGGTGTAATATGGTTTATCGTGCCTGGCATGAGTGGAAGCCACCAGGTCTGGGACTCGGACCACTGTTGACTACATGGGAGTCCAGCCACATAGCCATTACGCTAACTGTGGGTCCCAATCCCTTCTCCATTCTCTTCTTGGGATTTTGGGCACCCACACACATGTGCCTGGCATGAGTTTCTAGGCTCTGTGTCCAGGACTGGAAACATGATTGGTCATGTGGGAGTCCAGTGAAATAACCATTATGCCATCTGCTGGCCCCAATATGCACCATCTTCAACAAAGACCATTACATTACATTGTATACTTTCGATTTTCACTCTACTAGTGTTTTTGTTTTTGTTTGTTTGTTTGTTTTTTCTTTTTTGCAGAGTGGTCACTGGCGAGACAGAGAGAGGCGGAAAGCAACAAATCATTCTCCCCCAATCCTCCATCCCATCCCATCCCAACCCCAACTGGGGGATGGCCATACTGCAATCCCTTCTCCATTCTCTTCTTGGGATTTTGGGCATGAATTTACATGAGACTGGTGTGAGTGCTTTTTAAGCCACTAGGCAAGATTTGAATCATAGCCTACTTCATGGGTGTCCTGCAACATAACCACTACACCATCTGCTGGTCCCTCTACTCTGTCTTCTAACATTTCAATTTCTGCCAGAGTGCAAACATTTGTTTTTGCAGTCCGCTGGCATAGCCCTGCTTCTTTCAGTTCCCACATTATCAGTCTTAGCATTTCTGGCTGACTTTTTTCTCTTTCATTCTCTTTATTTTTAGTTCCTTTGCTCTTTGTCATTGTTATAAGTAATATAATGCAACTCTACTAATGTCTCTGTGGTAGTAACTATTAAACTTTAGGATAAATAAATACCTTTCTATTGGTAGAATTTCAAATGTGATTGCTAGAGTAAGAAAGACTATTGAGAAACAAGCTATTATTCATCTCATTAATTTATACTGTAAATTGTCCTGTTTGATTATATAAAACTTTGAACCATGTTATTTAAAATACTTTATGTCAGTTGCTTATAATGTCAGCTCCAAAATATTTTTTTTTTTGCAGAGGTTTTTGCTATAGGGTGTGTGCGCTCGCCAGACAGACAGAGAGAGACAGAGAGACAGAAAGCAGGAAGTCACCCCCTGGGGGGATGGCCACGCCGCAATCCCTTCTCCTCCATTCTCCTCTTGGGATCTTGGGCATGCACGCACATGCACCCGGCGTGAGTTTAAGCCACCGGGTCCGAGGCTTGAACCGTGGTCGACTACATGGGAGTCCAGCGACATAACCATTACACTAACTGCTGGTCCCAGCTCCAAAATATTTTTGTAATTTATGTTCAAAACCATAATCTTATTTTCTTTTCAAATAAGAGTTTTTTGTTTTGTTTTGTTTTGTTTTGAGAGGTTTTCATTATAGGGCGCATGTGCTCACCAGACAGACAGAGAGAGACAGAAAGACAAAAAGCAAGAAATCACCCCCTGGAGGGAATGGCCACACCACAATCCCTTCTCCTCCATTCTCCTCTTGGGATCTTGGGCACGCACGCACACACACCCGGCATGAGTTTAAAGTCACCATGTCCGGGACGCGAACCGCAGTCGACTACGTGGGAGTCCAGCAACATAGCCATTACGCTAACTGCTGGTTTCCTTAAAATAGAGTTTTTAAAGAGAAAATAAAATCAGTTTCTCTGAGTATAGCTATTGAAATTAATTATTCATAAATTTCCTTTTAGAATTCATTATACTGGGACCAGCAGTTAGCGTAATGGCTATGTCGCTGGAAGCCCATGCAGTCGTTCGCGGTTCACGTCCTGGACCTGGTGGCTTAAAACTCACACTGGGCACGTGTGCGTGCATGCCCAGGATCCCGAGAATGGAGGAGAAGGGATTGCGGTGTGGCCATCACCCATAGGGGGTGATTTCTTGCTTTTTGTCCCTCTGTCTCTCTCTGCCTGTCTGGCGAGCACACGCACCCTATAGCAAAAATCTCTCCAAAAAAATGAACAAAAAAAAAAGACTCCATTATATTGAAAATAAAAAAAGTATTTGTAATAGTCAAAGAAGGCATTTAATTAATAATTGCATTTTAGGTTTCTAAAGTAATTCTCCTTGATTTAAAGTAATTTAATATTCTTCTTTTAAAGTAATTCTCCTTGATTTAAAATAATTTAATATTCTTAAATTCTTCCAAAAATTATCCTTTGATTTAGTGAAAGTTATGTAAGTTAAAATTTTAATATGAATGTAGTCTTTATTTTATGCTGAATTTGTTGATGGAATTGAATGAATTCAGTTTAAGTTTTCTGAGATCTTTCTTCCTCAGTTACAGTCTAAAATCCTACCTGATCTCACCTAGTGGGCCTCTCTGAGAGTCTTTTCCAGTAACAGACTGAATTATGCCTTAAAATAAAAATTTTATGCTAAGACAGTTTTTCAAAGTTAGAATGGAAAATAAATAAAATAGCCAAAAATTATCAGGAAAACAAGAACATTTTTAAGACAGATTTTTAAAAATGAATACTTGGATATTTTAGAAAAAAAAACCCTTTTCAAAATCTTAGTTACATATATGCACACAGTCCAGTTCATTAGAAAAGGGAGAGATGTGAAAAAGATCCTGTTGTATAATTTACTTTTTAGTCTTATACAAACTCCCTATAGTGCATGACTCAAAACTGATCTGTTACTAAATCACTTGAAAGTTTTATTTCCTTTATTTTCAAGATTCTATAGAATGTTGAGAAAGTAAGACTCTTTTATGTCTACAAGTATTATTTTTTATACTTTCACATGTTTAAGCATAAATTATAATGACATCTGAACACTAGATATCCTTTAAAATACTGCACTCATTGGAGAGCAAAACCAAACTTTTATCTCTTTGATCCAGTTGTATCATTTCCTAACTTGATTTAAACATCCCACATCCCTTATAAGCATTATGGTTTAGCTATCAGTACATCTAGAGAGTTAATTTAGAGGTCTCGAAGGACTTCCTCTGGGCCTGACCTTGTCTATGATTCTGTCTATGATTTCATGTTACTCAAAAGTCGAAGGCTGATGTCTGGTTACCTTTCAAACACAGCAGAACAGATTCACAACTGCCTTAGGTTGTTGTCCTCTTATCCCTAATCCTAAAGTCTTCTAATCATCAGATCATGAGAAGGTCTTTCTCTCAGAAAGCAGTAAATCCTTTATACATTTTTCCTGTTTGGTTCCTTCATGGATGTTATTTTAAAATCCTTAAACACTATTACCTAATGCAATCCC